TGCAAACATTAACTTGTTCAAAATACTATGTAGCTCCCAGTTGCTCATGTAGTGGATAGTTAAGCTCAAATACGGCTCTGATGTGCGGCTGGACCAGAGATAGCTTGTGGTAGCAAAAAACTGCTCATTCTGAATATTTTCTGCAACAAGTCTCTAAATAAAGTAAAAATTTCCAGTGCAGATTGGAGACAACCCATAGAAGCACTGATTAGATCTCATTTCAGAGAAAAATAGAACAGGTTAGATGCACCTAATAAATAAAATTACTAACAAACTCAGGAATCTTACTTTGCTTCACTGTTCTGGTGCTGAAAATACCACTATTGCGGATCAAAGGAGATACACAGATGAATGCACCTCTTATTATTTGGAAACTACATTTACTGCAGCTGGCAGAAGCAGAGATTGTTTCTATTGATACACGGAATTTACAGAATCATTTTAAATTGTAATAGGGGAAGACTGCAGGAGGGAGCAGTAAATTACAGGGGGTCCCCAACAAAAACAAGAAACTACGAGTCTGATGAAACCCGCTGGTTTTCCATCAGGCAGTCAAGGGGCAGCTCCAGCGACCCAGTGACCGAGCTCAGTCCGGTACCGATACCGGCTCGGCAGAGGGTGAATGAGCCGAGGCGACGTCGTGCTCTGCTTAAGAAGAAGTGTTATTTTCCTGCTTCAGAAGAAGCGTCCAACGTGTTTTTACGCTTTCTCTGAGACATGTCACGTCACTAAGTTGTTAGCGCCGCGCGCTAAGGAAACCCTGCGTTCCTCTTCGGAACGTGTCGCTCAGCCGCGGCGAAGCCATGTTTGTTCACACACAAATGAAAACAAGCGGGACACTAATATATTACTATGACTCACTCTGATTGGTTAAGGGTCAAACAAAGGTGTGTCATTCGCCTGAGGTAAGTTCCTTTTCATTCAGAGGCAGAAATTCAACAGCAGAGCTGTGAATCGTGATCAAAACGGTCTCTCAAAAATGACAGACCGTCAGATGTGTAGATCGTAAAACGGTCTAAAATCGTCATATCGCCCAGCCCTACTCTTTACATACTTAACTCTTTTTATTTGGGCATCCATTCACAGAGTTCCTGTGGGGTCTTAAGTTTAAAATACATTTCTCTAGATTTAAGGCCTTAAAAACATCCAGGTAGCCGGGAAGCGTTGGCCATAGAAAACACACTGAAGCGCTTTCGGTCTTCCTTCGAGGTAGGGGTGGGTGATTCATTGATTTTAAAATTGAGATTACAGTATTGGTTGGAAACAATTATTAGAAGCAAAATTAGCGATTTTTCTTTTTTTTTTTGTTAACATGTTTCAAGTACCTAGCGACAACTCTAGCCACCTGTGTTAGCGATTATCTGAGACTCAGAGATCGCTGTGAAGCACAGATTCACAGCGGTTAGCTTCATTCGTTCTGTATGGTCAGTCGGCTCTTTCCATGGAGCAGCGGGGCTGCCGTCTGCTCCAGCCCTGCTGCTGCAGCAGGTAGCTGTTGTCATAAAGTGAAACTGAAAATGGATCGCGCAGCTTGAAGTTGCCTCTGTCTGACTGATGCTACCCGTGCTTAGGTGGAAAGATATATACATATTCTCTCAAATGTGTCAAAACATGTCTTTAAATTCCATGAACATCAAATATTACATCCAGGGGACATTTCCAACAGAATCAGAAAATAACATATTGTTCCATTGACTCTCATCCATTATTTTTTTTGTCCATGGGAACAAATGACTGGAAGTAGAAGGGTGGGGCTTAGGCTCCCCATACTTAAACATAATGAACAACCCTTTGGGTCAAACAGTAGTATATGCTATCTCATTGCAAATGGATGTACTTTTATCTTTCTGTTGCTGTTTATCAGTATCACTATTTATCAATATTTGCCCTTTATTTTTTCCAAGACAAAGCGCAACTTTATTTAACTCCTAAGAGAGAAGATTCTCTTTTATAAAGGCAAAAATCATTAAATGGAGTTTAAAGGCCACTATTAATGTTCAATAAATTTAGGTCATCATCAGCATTAATTAAAAATTGTGTTAAATAGTCAAGATCTCAGTTTCAATCAAAATAATCATGATTAACATTTTTGCCATGATCTAGCAGCCCTACGTGTTACCAACGTAGGGCTGCCGTAGTGTTTGGGCTGATGTTGCAATATTTACAGGTTATTCACAAGTGCAGGATTTGAATTGTCAGTATGTGGCATTTGTAGTTTGTGTACAGCCAGCAAATTAGAAAGTGCTGAGTCCAGTAGGTGGCTCGTTGTTAAAACACCGGGAAGTGTGTTTTGAACCACATTGGTTTCACAGTTGGTTTGGACAATCACTGGTGTTATGGATTAATGCGGTTTTGGGTTAACTGGTTTCCTACTTCTGTTAGCGTCGGTGTCAGTCCATAGGTGACATGGTGGACCACCTTGGTCCAACTGACTCCACGCTTCCCTCGATCTGAAAATACGGTCTGCTCTGCTTGGCAGAAGAATAGTTTAAATGCTCTGTACAGGGCTGGATCTGCACAATTTGGGGCCGAGCTGAGTTTAGTGGGAAAGGGCTATATGGTAGAGAAACACAGTTGGCCACAAAAAGCATTTAGCGGGTTCAAGCTATCATCCAGTTTTGGTCACCACCCCACACTTTTTTGTCGTCCTCGGTATCCGGTCCCTCTGGTCTCCAGTGCATAACCGCAGCATGTAGTGAGCTCCATTTGGCTACATTTTTATCCAGTAACCTATCAAAATCAGAGGTGCTTTGGAATTTCCATATGATTACAAAACATCTCATATAACAGTAGTTGTGACATCAGCAGCATCAAACATTGGAATCATTTAACTTTCTATTAATGTCATGTTGATATTAAATTTTATTCACAGCAGTCTAAAATGGTCTTTAAAAGGTCCTAAATCTAACTTGCTTAAAACTGCAAGAATCCTGCATTCAGTCACAGCATTCTGCCTATATGATATTGGGAGCAGTTTATCTAGAAGTAAAAGCCCAGGTCTCTGTTTTAAAATACTGTTCCAAATTGTTTACTATTAGTTTATTACGTGTCTTGCCTCAATTCTGCACATTATGTACATCATGCTGAATTCTGTTACTGTGATCAGCGGCCATCATCCGAAACTGTTATATTTAGGGATGTCCCGATCCAATATTGACATCGGATATTTCTCCGATATCTGCCTAAAAAAAGCTCTATCGGATTTTATTTGACAGCATTAAAAATCTCCGGTATTATAAGCAGTCTGTTCCGCTGTCTGTCCAACTGTCTGTCCACCTGTCTAACCAACCTTCAGTCCACCCATCCATCAGTTTGTCAAAGCATCCATCCATCCATCCATCCGTCCAATCTCCCTCACTTTCATTCATCCATTAATCCCAGGGTATCCGCAGGGTCTTGAAAAGTATTAAAAGTTGATCAATTGATTTGAGGAAAATTAAGAGCATTAAGGTCTTAAATTCAATTTATAAAGTCTTAAATTTGGTTAGTAACATGTTTTTATTATAAGCTTGTCAAGTAGATGCACATGAACTAATCATTTTCAGTTCTTTTATGCTAGCTGTTTGTTCGAGTTGCTGTTCCATGTGACTTTAAGCACTATCACTATAGGCGTGCCTTCCTCATCACAACATATCCAGCTCTTTCATGAAGAAATACATTGAAGCGATGCAGTACTACTGTAAATGGGAATCGATACATTTACTGATTCTTGGCCACAAGTTGAAGATTTTAAACTGTGGCTGCAGCCTTTGACTGAAAACAGCCGCACAAGCTTTCTGTGGGTTTTCTGAGTTTTGCTTTGTTTATTAAAAAAAGTACTTCCTTAAAATTAAGCTTAAATTTTATTTTTTTAAATTGTTGAAGTACCATTACTGAAAACCAGATATTGTTAAAGTAGTATCAAAAAATATCTAGCGTTACTCAAGAAAAAGCCTACTTTCCAGGTTGTTTCTTGATTCTGCCATTGCAAAATAACTTAATAAAATAGCTTCATATTAATAGTTTATTCATGTATTATTGCATTGCAACAGTCTTTATTTTGTTTTAAAGCCTTGAAAAGGTATTGCAATTGATTATTGGATCCCTACATATGCCCTGAATCCATCCACCTGTTCTGTTGTAGGAAATACATGTTAATGTGTAAAACTGTGCCACCTGCTGGTGAAAGGAAATACTGCAAGTGGCTTGGGTCCCCATCAGAGTGAAAACCAGAAAAACATTAAGTTGCCATTTTTTCAAAATTTTTATTGCATAACATTGGATTAGTTATGGAAAAAGTTGGAAAAATTATTTTTTTAAATTCTAATAAAGCATTATGCTTCTTTTTCACTGTCAAAGTTGTGTCCCCACCATGAATGTCCTGGACAGAAGTCCTCATTTTCCGCAAGAAACAAGTATGTGTGTGTGTGTGTGTGTGTGTGTGTGTGTGTGTGTGTGTGTGTGTGTGTGTGTGTGTGTGTGTGTGTGTGTGTGTGTGTGTGTGTGTGTGTGTGTGTGTGTGTGTGTGTGTGTGTGTGTGTGTGTGTGTGTGTGTGTGTGTGTGTGTGTGCGTGTGTGTGTGTACGCCCGTAAACACCTTGGCCCAAAAGCATCAGGTGTGTGCAGAGCGAACATAACGGTGAGACGAGTCTCATTGATTGGCGAGTCAAGTATTAATTAAGGTTATAGTACTAGTACACGTGGCCGTTCAGGTAAAACACTAACAAATTTCCTGTTTCATGTTAAAGTGTCATTTAAATGGTAAACGACCCGGACTTGTATAACGCCTTTTATCGTCAGAGGTGCTTTACACTACAGTGCGTCATTCATCCGTTCACACACTGCTGGGGATGAGCTACGATGCAGCTACAGCTGCCCTGGGGCGCTCTGACAGAGTCGTACACCGGCACCACCGGTCCCTCCGACCACCAGTGAGAGTCACCCATCGTTTGTGTGACTCGGATGAACCAGCCGCTGCGTAACTCTAAATCCGGACCTGCCTGTTTCTGTTTGTCCTTCAGGTGCATACGTGTGCAAGGGTCGCTGGCTGATGCCACTGGGAGAAGCTCTGTGGGAGAATGCCGACCTCCAGCTGTGCATCCCTATGAAGAGTAGAAGGGTGCCCCCCCCTCCCGGTCCAGGCATGTGCTCCCTGCTTGTAGACATGCTGGCCTCGGACCCGGACGCTCGGCCGTCGGCTGACCAGCTGGAGGCCAGAGTGCTCTCCGCTTTGGAAGAGGACTCCTGCTGACTGACTCGATACCCAAGATAGCTGGACTTGACTCTGCCACAGACTCGGGGGCAGCAACATCAGACGCGATTGTAGAATTAGATCAAATATTGTGTTTCTGTCATGGAAACTGAGAAGAGGGAACTTAGCAACCAGCTCAAGTTTCTTCATTCTTCATTTGAGCATGAATCTGCTGATGGACCTGCTGGCACTCAGGTGTGAAAGCTCCACTTTCCCCTGTTTAGATGGTTTTATGAGCTGTTGCTCGTCCTGCTCTGACCACACAGCTGGTGTTTATAGTTTTGTCTTTTTGTAGTTTTAAAAGTCTTCCAGAGCTTTTCTCATTTCCATTTAGCCCTCTTAATCTAAAGGACAGACATCCTTGGAGCAACATTAATATTTATACCCACTGTGTTTGTTGCATTTTGCAGAAATATTTTTACTTGTGTGATAAATCGATGAAATAAAAACCCATTTTAACCTAAAATGCACTGATCTGAGGGATGCGGATACCGATGCTAATGATTTTCCAGTTAAATACAATTTATTTTTCTAGTAAAAAGCATGCGTTAAATTATTATTGTGCTGAATATGATCACTTTTAAATGTCCCACTGAAACATTTCATCATCACGAGCAGCTGAAGTCTTACGGTTTTTGTGACTAATGATGGCTGACGTGCTCTCCATGAACAGGAAATTACAGCCAGACTTTAGGACTGGATGTTATCAAACCAACGACCGCACCGTTTATTACAGGCCATCAGTCTCAGTCCATCACCAGCACCTGGTAGCAGGTGTGTGTGTGTTAAAAGTACCCATATTTCTTGAACCTTTACACATTTTCACACGTACAACCAAACTGAAATGGTTTTTCCCTTATAATGTTCATTATGTCCGCTTTTTAAATATTAAACAATCTTTTGGCTTCGGACATGAAGGTGTTTCGGGTTACCTTTACATGTTTGACCGTCGTCTGCAGTCTTCATCAGAAATGTCACAGGTGTCTTCCACTTGGTCCTAGTGCTCAAGTAGAGTCCATTTAATGATGTTGGATGGTAAAAAGTGCAGGGGACAAACTGACTTTAGAAACAGTAGGGGGGTTATGTCATTCCTCAAAACTACATACATGTTAGTTGGTGATAAGGGCCCCATAAACGTAGGGAGACGCTTAGAATAACCATCGTCGCTGTGCTTGGGGAACGTGTGGTGGGTGGCTATTCGGCCGGTAAGGAGGAGCGACGCGGCCTAATCTGTGGTTCTCAACTGGAACAGGCCAGATCAGGGGGGATGGTCTACTTCAAGTGGAGGAGTTTAAAGACCAAGTTCACTGAGAAATGGGATTTACTTTTAAATATGATGGTGAAAATGAAAATCGTATGGAACATTTTAATAAACCGTTCTACGTTTTAAAAAATCTCCCCGGGGCGTTCTCGGGTGTGCAGAATGTACGTTTTCTCCTTTTGAAGCTAATCACATTTTTATTCTGTTGGCACGACACTGTTAGTTTACATCTTATCAGCCACTAGAGGGCATCGTTGTGCTAAAAGTCCACTGAGCAAGGCGAGGCTGGGACTGTAAAATGGCGGACTCGACAAGTCGAGCAGCTGATCTGAGCCGAGACGTTCTAACGGTAAATTCTGCTGTAAAATAAACTTCGTAGAGATGATGAAGTGCTGTGACCCAAACTGGCCCTGTTGTTGCAATACCGTCTCTGACCACTAGAGTCCGCTAGACTGTCAGTGTTCCATAGTCAACCTTTAACATTCATGGACTCACGAAGGGGAAGGCTGTTGTTTTAGCATCCAGGAAATAGCAGAGAGCATCTCTGCTAGTAGAAGCTAACCATTAGCATTAGCAACTCCACCACACATCAGAACTTCTCCAGGCTTGTGCTATTTGTGGAGATAAAACATGAAATGTTGCACAATAAACAGTAAGAGGACTTCAAAGCGCTTCACTCTACAGTATCGTTCATCCATTCACACTCCCTGACGGTGATGAGCTACAATGTAGCCACAGCTGTCCTGGGGCACACTGACAGAGGCAAGGTTGCTGAGCAAAGGCTCCACCGGTCCCTCCGACCACCACCAGCAGAATTCTCTGGTGGGAGCCGGGATAACCGGCGCTGCTGACTGATGGTTCTCCTGAATTCAGATCTCTGAGCAAGAGGTGGGACGTTGCTGCACCAACCCAACACCGACCCAGAGCGCTCCAGTCATTCTGGGATTCTCCAGAACTCCCAGTCCACACCTGCTGTACAGCTTCCTTAAACATCAACACTGCTGCATGGATTCTGTTTTTCCAGAACCCCCGGGGCAGGTCATCGTCTTGCAGGAGCCAGACAGGAAGTGAGGCGTGGAACAGCGAGGTGTGTCCGGTATTTTTCTAAACCAAACCTGTGCTGCATTATCTCTGTACCATTAATGATGAGGGTATCCGCTACAGTGTGTGACTGAAACATCAAGGCCTGAGGTCATGGATGTTAAGTGACGGTGTGACGTAGATGTGTCGGGACTTCATCATCTCAGCGTTTCCTCGTCCGTTTTCCATCTGTGACCCAATGCGGATCGGTGTAGGAGACTATTTATGTTCATGTTTCTCAGTGAACTTGGTCTTTAAGCCTAAATAAATCAAACGGAGGGATCCCGAATGATATCTGTCTGTCATTAAGGAGGGGTCATAAAGCAAGACATGAAAAGCTTCTGTAGTGTACACACACACACACACGCACACACACACACGCACGCATGCACGCACGCACACACACACACACACACACACACACACAGCGGCGTCGTCTCTGCAGATAAATAAATCCGTAACCTTCAGCTCTGCAGGGTTTTAGAGAACTCCCCACACTTCTGCTGGTGTTGCCGTGACGATTAGAGCGTACTCCGCCTCCCTTTAAGCACAAATCCGCTCAGGTGGGGGGGGGGGGGGGGGTTGTTTAGATTTCACAGCTGATAGGAGGGAGGGAGCGTGGAGAGGAAGCCTGACTGCGGCCCGATTCCTCACTGCGTCAGAACCGCAACACCAGCACGGCCCCGCGTGGCGTCGTGTCCGTTCAGCTTCAGTCGCCCCGTGAAGCTGAATCTATACGAGGCAAAGGGCTCGATGAGTTGAGACTTCACTGCCGGCTATTTTTCAGTAAGAGAGCGGCGGAGCGCTGCGGTCAGGATGGAGATGTAATTGGGAAGGCTGGATCCAATGAGTCTGGTAAACAGTCTCAGAGGGCAATCATCAGGGGTCTCCTGGGGGGCTGGACCCCTGGGGGGGGGGGGGTATGTGACTCTTCTATAGAACCTGAGATCTTTAGGGGTTTACCTGGAGACCAGCCAGCTGAAACGAGATGAACTGAAAACGTGCTTTAATCAGGAAGGAAGATGAACAAAGCTGGGTTTAGTCTGGAGAACCACTGAAACCCAAAGACCCTCTGAGGCTTAGAAACGATCATTCCCTGTGTCAAAATCAAAAAGCAGCTCCTCATTTTTATTTCATTTAGACGAGATTAACTTGGAGCGTGGAGGCGAGCAGGAACAGGAAAATATTCACAGAGAGCCCAAACCTTCCTCTAAGGGTTTCTAGTTTTCCATCAGAAGCCTCCTCAGGGGTTCAGACAGAGGACCCATCAGGGTCCTGGAGGTGTCAGAACCATCATCTGCCTTAAACACCGAACGTTCCCCTCCACCCAGACTCCCTCACTCCCCGTGCCCTCTCACGCACCTCCTTATCTAAATACAACAGGAAATGCAGCAGCTTGGATAAAAGCAGATGAATGGGCTGAGCACAGAAGAACCAGCCATTATCTCGCCCCCCCCCCCCCCCCCCGAGGCTGGAACCGTTTCCCTGCATTCGCTGCAAGAATCGTGTCCCTGTTGATGAATAAAAGCAGCGGTGTCTCCGTGTGCACCGTCCAGATAAAGCTACGCCCAGTTCAGTCCATTCCTGGACCGTAGAGGTCCTTCACCATGTATGGGCCGTCCAGCTCGTAGCCCAGCTTCCTGTAGTAGTTCCTTGTTCCGACGCCTGCAGGAAGACACAAACAGAACCACAGATGGGTCCCACATGTGGGTTACACGACACCGAGTGAAGCTCTGTCGTACCTGAGATGACGGCCAGCCTCCGCGACCCATGCTCATCTCTGGAGATCCTCTCGGCCTCCTCCATCAGCATCATGCCAAAGCCCTGTACAAACGAGCCACGTCTAAAACATGCCGAGACGTTTTGGATCGAACAGAACATCGGTGAGCTGGGGTGTAGCCACCTGATGCTGGAACTTGCTGGGGTCTCTGCTGCTCACGGGGACCACGCTGCCGTACACGTGCAGCTCACGGACGATGGACACGCTTCCTTTCAGCTCCGGCCTGAAGGACTGAGGAGAGCAGCGACGCAGCCGCAGCAGGCCGATCAGGATGTCCTGTTCCGGGTCCTCGTAGGACAGGAACGTCTCCCAGCCACCGTTGGCCACATAGTCCCTCCTGATGAGCTCCACCTGCAGGTGCACGAGTCAGTGAAACATGTCGCTGCCTTACTGAAAGGCTTTAGTGTGCACAGGTACCTGGTAAGGCCTGACTTTGTGGTGGATCTCCTGAATGCCCACTTCTCTGGTCCTCACATCTCGACACTGAACAGACAGAAGGACAGACCCGGGTTACTGCGCTGGGACACTCAGCTATGAAAGAACTCTGCAAGAATCCAAATCTAGAAAAACTATCGTCATTTGCAACGTTTCTTTATGAAAGTTATACATAATTACAATTTTACTCAACAAAGATGGCTTCTTGAACAGCCTCTGCTCAGAGAAACAGAGATTTTCAGAACTGATGAGCTAATGACTAGTCCAAACTGGAAAAAACATGTAGCTGCTGTTTTAAAATCTGCTCTAATGTCTCGTGACTAGTGGTTAACATAAACGTTAATTTTATACTGTCGTCAGTCTGGAACCAAACAGATGTTTAGATGAAAATCTGTGGTGAAGCTCCTGGGCTGGTAAACGACCCCACCAGCTAAATGCAGCACTTCCAACAGGGCTGTCAAAGTGATAAAAGTTATATATTAAAGGTGCAATATGTAAAAACTAAGTAAGAGTGACATCCTGTGGTCACATGTAGTTACTGCAGCCCATTTTTCAATCAAACATATGAAGTCAACGTTTATATTTCCCGGCTGGCAACTTTGCGCTCACATGGAGTTTTTATAGTTTTTGGTCATTTAAAAAGTAACTTGAAATATCTTTAGAGCCGACTGCTTTTAATTCACTGTTAGCATTGTTAGCTCAATGCTAGCCTCTAGCACCGGATATTAGAGTAAAACAAAAAAATGGCGTGGCTTCTTAGGGGTACAAGAGACTTCTGGGTCGCTCCTGTTTACTAGCTTTGGAGCTTTTTGCCCGCCAGTGTTGAATTACAAATGGCGGCGCAGCAGCATTAGCTCTGTCCACCTAGGTCATCGTGTGACTGACGGAGTTTAATATTTGTTGTCTAAGTGTATTTTAAGGTTCCAACATTTCTTATCTAAAAAGGCCAAAACTATTTTATGGCAGTCTATATAGATAGATAAGATAAGCAATAATTTATTCTCTCATTAGTTTAAATCCGCACTAAACAGCTGAACTCCACCACGTGCTGACTTAAATGTGAACTTTGGCTTGTGCTTCCCAGCAATAATCAGGATGTTGAATTTGACCGTGTTATTTATGGCCAGTGATGTAATGAATGTGTTATTCTACCTGACCACCTGTTTCAGTAGCAACTACTCAAATGCGTTAAACTTCAGTTTAAGTAATCAGATTAAAGTAACTTCTTCAGATCCATCGTAGTTTTTGTTGTGCTGCAGCTTTTCCAGGTGAACGTGTAAAAAGGTGTTTCTACGGTTGGGTTTCATTTGGTTAAACGTATTTTCATGTTGTTCTTTCACTGATGTCGCCGTAACGCTGCCACAGAGGCACATTCAGCTCGAGTGCACACGCAGCCGGGTCTTTATAAAACCCCTAACCCCCATTTTCAGCTAAACTTTCCAGTGACGTTGAAACACATTCATAAGCATGCTGAGCCCGTAGGTGGCAGTAGTTCCCCAAACGGTCGGCGTCTTTGCAGGAAAACATTCCTTGGATGTGGAATAGGGAACCTAAGCCACGCCCACCTACTTCCACACCACGGGTCCCCAGAAAAACGAAAAAATGAACGCAAGTCAACGGGGCTAAAAACGCTATTTTGTTCCGCTTGTTTTGTGCCGTGGATTTCACATATGATGTCCGTGGACTTTAAGGACACATTTTTGTACCAAGAACGCGCTTATTTTCGAACGGGGGGAAACGCTATTTTAGGTTCTGTGTGAAAAATAAGTCCAGGACTACAAATGAGCTTCATGAATGTGATGTCATCGAACCAGACACAGAGAACACTGAGGGCAAAGGGCTGTAAACTTCCCACAGGAGGAAAGAACCACCATGAATCTGGTCATGTGGTGAGTAGCAGCTACGCTAGGGGGGAGGAGCTTATGTGGTGTGAAAAACTATCTGCCCCCTTCCTGATTTCTTACTCTTTTGCATGTTTGTCACACAAAATGTTTCTGATCATCAAACACATTTAACCGTTAGTCAACGATAACACGAGGAAACACAAAATGCAGTTTTGAAATGATGGTTTTTATTATTTAGGGAGAGAACTAAATCCAGACCTACATTGCCCTGTGTGAAAAAGTAATTGCCCCCCTTGTTAAAAAATAACCCAACTGTGGTGTTTCACACCTGAGTTCAATTTCTGTAGCCACCCCCGAGCCTGATTACTGCCACACCTGTTTCAATCAAGAAATCACTTAAATACGAGCTGCCTGACACAGAGAAGTAGACCAAAAGCACCTCAGAAGCTAGACATCACGCCAAGATCCAAAGAAATTCAAGAACAAATGAGAACAAAAGTGACTGAGATCTATCAGTCTGGTAAAGGTTATAAAGGCATTTCTAAAGCTTTGGGACTCCAGCGAACCACAGTGGGAGCCATCATCCACACATGGCAACAACATGGAACAGTGGTGAACCTTCCCAGGAGTGGGCGGCCGACCAACATTACCCCAAGAGCGCAGAGACAACTCATCCGAGAGGTCACCAAAGACCCCAGGACAACTTCTAAAGAGCTGCAGGCCTCACTTGCCTCAGTTAAGGTCAAAGTTCACGACTCCACCGTAAGAAAGAGACTGGGCACAAATGGCCTGCATGGCAGATTTCCAAGACCCAAACCACTGTTAAGCAAAAAGAACATCAGGGCTCGTCTCAGTTTTGCTAAGAAACAACTCAATGATTGCCAAGAGTTTTGGGAAAATACCTCGTGGACTGATGGGACAAAAGTAGAACTTATTGTCCCGTTATATCGGGCGTAGAAGTAACACAGCATTTCAGACTAAGAACTTCATACCAACAGTAAAATATGGTGGTGGTAGTGTGATGGTCTGGGGTTGTTTTGCTGCTTCAGGAACTGGAAGGCTTGCTGTGATAAATGGAACCATGAATTCTACTGTCTACCAGAACATCCTGAAGGAGAACGTCCGGCCATCTGTTGGTCAGCTAAAGCTGAAGCCATCTTGGGTGCTGCAGCAGGACAATGACCCAAAACACACCAGCAAATCCACCTCTGAATGGCTGAAGAACAACAAAATGAAGACTTTGGAGTGGCCTGGTCAAAGTCCTGACCTGAATCCTGTTGAGATGTTATGGCATGACCTTAAAAAGGCGGTTCATGCTAGAAAACCCTCAAATAAAGCTGAATTACAACAATTCTGCAAAGATGAGTGGGCCAACATTCCTCCAGAGCGCTGTAGAAGACTCGTAGCAAGTTATCGCAAACGCTTGATTGCAGTTATTGCTGCTAATGGAGGCCCAGCCAGTTATTAGGTTCAGGGGGCAATTACTGTTTCACACAGGGCAATGTAGGTTTGGATTTAGTTCTCTCCCTAAATAATAAAAACCATCATTTCAACACTGCATTGTGTGTTTACTTGTGTTGTCTTTGACTAACGGTTAAATGTGTTTGATGATCAGAAACATTTTGTGTGACAAACATGCAAAAGAATAAGAAACCAGGAAGGGGGGGGGGGTCACACCGCTGTATGTGGTGACGTCACATATGCGACGTGCTGATTTCTGCTGTGTAGTCATGCTAATCACAAAATTTTACAAGCGAATAAATCTCAGTGTACGTGACTGGCGTGGTGGAAACAGCCATCATTACTTTTCAACATGTGTGTGTGTGTGTGATCCAGGGCGTGAGGCAAAGCGGATTAGAAAACGGCGCTTTTAGCCCCGATGACCTGCTTTCATGTTTTCGTTCTTCCAGCGGACCCGTGATGCGGAAGCAGTCTTAGGCTTCCTGTAACTAGGTGGTGGACAGTAATCGTCCTTAATGTTGCCCTTCACCTGTGGTCTTCTACATCGAGCGGTGTGATGTCACAGCTTTTTTTTATTATCAAATCCAAACCCCGGTTATTTACGTCAACGCTCATTTACACAAACAAGCAAATGCTGACGATGGAGAATTCGCTAATCTCTAATCTGTTCAGATTTCTAAAGAATACTGTTTGTGTTGTTTATCTTTACTTTGGTGTGACGACGGCCAAACGGTAGAGCAATATCTTGGTTCAGTGGGACAGCGGCTACGTGTGGACAGGGTCTCAGGCCCTCCGTCTAAAGCTTGTGTTGGATACTACACACCTGTCTCCGCAGAGCAGCTGGTCAAACCCGTCGGCACCTTTCACAATAAAACCAAAAGTCTGCTCTTTAAGTTTTCAGTCTCCTTCAGGACTATTGTGACATTGGGTCAGTCTGGCGGTTCATGACATCATAAGAAGACCTTCACACGTGAAGTTTGATTGGTTCCACCTGTTGCACTTAGATCACCAACTCTTACGCCGGCAACCACTGACGTGCCCAACCTGGTCTGGTGTCTTAGGGAAGCTTTCAGATTCAAGGATAACCAAGAGAAAAGTAAACTTTTAGATTATTATCAACGGTCTGCTCCGCCCGCAGGCTAACAGAGACAGGAAACCAGGTCAGAGTTATGATGGTTTCAGTTCAGCGCAGCGCCATCACAACCATATCCAGGCCGATACGTGTCATCAAACGCAGCTCAGAGCTGAGGTGGTTTCTACCACTCTGTATGGAAACGAAGAGATTCATCTGAGGAATGATGCAAAAGCACAAAGGGAAGTCGGGAAAAGCACTTCCATATAAGGAAGAAAGGGTTGATTATGCTAACGCTCGGCAAGACTCCGTTTGCTTATCTCTAATGAATATGTTTTATTCCACTTCGTTGTTCCCGAGCAGCCGAGTTTCCAGCTTCATCTCATCAAATGTGTTACTAGTTTCTATTTTCCACCCAAACGTCTGTATGAGTGGGAGTAAAGGTGCTCCGACGGTCCTGACCCACGCCTGTGGAAGGACTCTGATGGGCAGCAGCTGGAAACCATCCACCAGCTTCCTGACTCACAAAGCAGCCCCGTAAGTCTCACCTCAGTGCCCATGTCCTTCATCCTGGCCAGGGCCAGCTCCCTCAGGTTCCCATGCTCCACCCCGGAGCTCACCAGCGGCATGGGGATGTCCCTAATGAAGAGGGAGGGACGGGGGACACACAGGAAAACTTAAAGCATTCAGAGGACATGACAGAACTATTCTCATGGATCCAGTCACTGGTTTATTCAGCAACTATCTCTAAAAATCACTAAACGTAGACCTACAGCTCGTTACAGTTTGAAGTAATCTCATTCAAGATGGCTGCCACAGCTAATGATCCACAGCCAGCATTGCGACTGCCAGAATGGACATACAGGGTATCCGCAGGTCCTTAAAAAGTCTTAAATTGGCTTTTCCAAATTTAAGGCCTTAAAAATCCTTAAAAATTATAAATAATCCTTAAATACAGTTTCCAAAGGTCTTAAATTACCAAAGACCCAATTAATAAGACTCTTTTATTTCTAAAAATTTTTTTTGTGAATTTCTAGTTTGTGTTCAGCATTTTTTGTGTATGACATTGGCGTAAGTGGAACCGTACACATTCAGTTGGTTGTGAAAGGGGGCTATTTTTAGATGAGCACATTAGCTGGTTAAGCTAGTGGGAGCTTGCGCCATGGGGAAGCGCAAGTTTAATGGTAACTGGATGGCTAATCCCACGTTCGCAACGTGGTTAGCACCGGTTCCAGGCAATAGCTGGAAATTATAGCTTAAATTTAATTGGAAACAAAAAAAAAAAGCTTAAATTTGGTCAAAGTGGCCTTAAAAAAGGTCTTAAAAAGTCTTAAATTTGGCTCCCTTAAACCTGCAGATACCCTGGACATAGTTTGGTGTGGCGGTGGCTCAAAGGGCTCAGGTTACTCCTGACATGGTGCATGAAGTTATTTTTAGGATTTTAGGTTTTAACTCAGACACGATCTCCACTCCTTCAGTGAAAGCTAGGCTTTAGCTAGTTTTTACATTAGCTTAATGAAAACCTTTAAATCCCTGACCTCTGCACCCGGTACACTCGAGTCCAGGGAGGAACCAGCGCCAGAATCCGGGCCACCAGGTCCACCAGAGCGCTGGGTGTGTAGCTCTTGTACCGCCCCGTCTTCCACAGCTCGTAAAGACCCGTGCCTCGGATCACGAGGGTTGGGTAGAGCTTCAACCCGTCGGGCCTGAAGGCTGGGTTCTCAAAAAACTCCTGCAGCAGAAACCGTCGTCGTTAAAGTTCATTCCTGATGTAATCCGGTCCGTATTTCTATGAGAGTCAGTTAAGAAATAACTAGTGAATCGAATCGGGTCAGTAGATTACAGGCTGGTCTTGAAGACATAACTGGATTAGGGTTGCAACAATAAAAAATTTGGTGGTACGGTTATAGTCTGAGAAATAATCACGGTTTCACGATTATTTCACATCTGTAGTAACACACATGAATCACACACGTTCTATAAATGATTGATAAAAGGCACCATTACATTCTATAAAGGTTTGAACCCCTGAAATATCTGTTGCTCCTTTTCAGAGATGTTGTTTGTAAAATTCACTCTACTACTGATTTGCAACGTTGATGTTTTATCTCCACAAATAACAAAAGCCTGGAGGAGTTCTGCAGTGTGGTGGAGTTGCTAATGCTGACAGTTAGCTTCTACTAGTCGAGACGTTCTCTGCTGTTTCCAGGACGTTAAACCAACTGCCTTCCCCGTCAAGATGGGTGAGTCCATGAATATTCAGTGACGGTGTGACGTAGATCTCCTTCCAACATGATTGAGACATTAGACTAATTAGGCCCGAGCAGCGAAAGCGCTGCGAAGGCCTCTTGTTTTTGCTCCGTTTATTATTATTTTTTTTATTTATTATTCCGGTGCCGCTTTGAATGGCTTTTTGGGGATCTTAACATACCCCAAAACTCACAATATTTTGCACACTTGTCAGGCCTGGTGAAAAATTTGATATTTTAAAGGTCCCAAAAAAATCGCAAAGAAAATGGCTGAACAGCGCCCCCTAGAAAATGAAAAAAAACCCTCTCCATAAAGCTTAGTTTATCGTACCGTTATGAAATTTGGTACACTTATAGTACTCAATAGTCCGCACAGAAAAGTCTCTTGCAAGCATGGTCAATATCAAACAGGAAGTCGGCCATTTTGGGTTGAAATGGCGATTTTTTGCAGTTTTGGCCGTTTTTAGGGTCCGTTTCTGATTGGATTGCTCGATCATTTTTTGCACGATCATCTCAAAAATTGTGTAAAATTGCTCAGAAGAGATGGGCGAACAAAATGAGACAATAAAATTGACTTTTCGTAAATACTGAAGGGGCGGGGCCAGGCCTCGAAGTTTGACTACTCGCCAAAATTTTTTAAATTGCTATAACTTCATAACTGAATGGAATAGAGTTACCAAACTTTCTGTGGTCATTCGTCATCACGTCACAAAGTAAATTGAATGGTCGCATGATGACATCACACAAGCCCCGCCCCCTCAGGACCAAAAAGGTTAAGTTTTACTGTGAAAGGTCCCAAATTGCCCCATTTCACTAAATCACCACAAATTTGTAGCTGGTAACTCAAGACAAGTGGGGGTTGCTTGGCGTCACATTATGTGAGTTTTCGGCAGAGGGCGGGGCTGTGGCGGCGCGGCGAAGTCAGGCGTACCGCCGTGGCCTTACGTTTGCCTCCCATTTCGTCATTTCTAAAGATATCATCACGAAACTTCTTGTGAGTGATCCTAGTCTGGCCCCCCAAAAGATCTGATGTGAACATCCGGTGGGCGTGGCCTATTTTCTGAAATAGCGCCCCCTAGGACCATTAAAACTGTCAGCCCCAAGCCATGCTTTGACTGAGGATTACGAAATTTGGTACACTAATGTGGTGTCTCAGGACCTACACAAAAGTCTCTTGGACCCAAGTGCAAAGTCGCACAGGAAGTCGGCCATTTTGGTCCAAGTACGCGATTTACTGGTTTTCGCACACCTTGTTTGGAGAGTGATGCTCCGTCGCCCTTTTCACCAATCTCCTTGAAACGTCTGCTATATACTCTTAAGACAAAGAGGAAAAAATTCAACCGTCGGATTTTTCAAAAGTTTAACGGTGTGGGCGTGGCTAAGCCTCAAACTTTGACCTGTCGCCACGCCACTCATTTTTTCACAGCTCCCTACTGGACTCCTTTTACCCAATCAGCAGGAATCTCTGGCAAACAGCAGTAGACAACTTGAGGTCACTTGGTATCCAGTACTGGCAGGTTTCAAAAAAAGGCGGGGCTTCAGGAGCATGGCGAAAATCGCCATCACGCCATGGAAGTATGTTTGCCTCTCATTTCTTCAGTTATCGTGATATCGCTACGAAACTTCTGGTGCGTGATCCTAGTCTGACCCCCAAGCGGCATAGACATCTGAAATTTGTGGGCGTGGCCTATTTTCTTAAATAGCGCCCCCTAGGACCATTTAAACTAATAGCCCCAAGCTATGCTTTGACTGAGGATTACGAAATTTGGTACACTAATGTGGTGTCTCAGGACCTACAAAAAAGTCTCTTGGAGCCAAGCGCAAAGTCGCACAGGAAGTCGGCCATTTTGGTCCAAGTACGCAATTTAGTGGTTTTCGCACACGTTGTTTGGAGAGTGATGCTCCGTTGCTCTTTTCACCAATCACTTTCACACTTCTGCTATATACTCTTAAGACGAAGGGGAAAAAATTCAACCGTCGGATTTTTCAAAAGTTGAAAGGTGTGGGCGTGGCTAAGCCTCAAACTTTGACCTTTCGCCACGCCACTCTTTTTTTCACATCTCCCTATTGGACTCCTTTTACCCAATCAATAGGAATCTCTGGCAAATAGCAGTAGACAAGTTGAGGTCACTTGGTATCCAGTACAGTTAGGTTTCGAAAAAAGGCGGGGCTTTGGGAGCATGGCGAAAATCGCCATCACGCCAAGGAAATACGTTTGCCTCTCATTTCTTCAGTTTTCGTGATATCGCTACGAAACTTCTGGTGAGTGATCCTAGTCTGAGCCCCAAGAAAAATAGACAGCTGAAGTTTGTGGGCGTGGCCTATTTTCTTAAATAGCGCCCCCTAGAGCCATTAAAACTGTCAGCCCCAAGCCATGCTTTGACTGAGGATTACGAAATTTGGTACACTAATGTGGTGTCTCAGGACCTACAAAAAAGTCTCTTGGAGCCAAGAACAAAGTCGCACAGGAAGTCGGCCATTTTGGTCCAAGTACTCGAATTAGTGGTTTTCGCACACGTTGTTTGGAGAGTGATGCTCCGTCGCCCTTTTCACCAATCGCCTTCAAACTTCTGCCATGTACTCTTAAGACGTAGGGGAAAAAATTCAACTGTCGGATTTTTCAAAAGTTGAAAGGTGTGGGCGTGGCTAAGCCTCAAACTTTGACCTTTCGCCACGCCACTCTTTTTTTCCACAGCTTCCTATTGGACTCCTTTTACCCAATCACCCATAATCTCTGGCAAATAGCAGTAGACAACTTGAGGTCACTTGGTATCCAGTACTGGCAGGTTTCGAGTAAAGGCGGGGCTTTGGCAGCATGGCGAAAATCGCCATCACGCCATGGAAATACGTTTGCCTCTCATTTCTTCAGTTATTGTGATAGCGCTACGAAACTTCTTGTAAGTGATCCTAGCCTGAGCCCCAAGAGATATCCATAGCTGAAGTTTGTGGGCGTGGCCTATTGTCTTAAATAGCGCCTCTAGGACCATTTAAACTATCAGCCCCAAGCCATGCTTTGACTGAGGATTACGAAATTTGGTACACTAATGTGGTGTCTCAGGACCTACAAAAAAGTCTCTTGGAGCCAAGCACAACATTGCACAGGAAGTCGGCCATTTTGGTCCAAGTACGCGATTTAGTGGTTTTCGCACACGTTGTTTGGAGAGTGATGCTCCGTCGCCCTTTTCACCAATCGCCTTCAAACTTCTGCTATATACTCTTAAGACATAGGGGAAAAAATTCAACCGTCGGATTTTTCAAAAGTTGAAAGATGTGGGCGTGGCTAAGCCTCAAACTTTGACCTTTCGCCATTACTTTACTTGACTTAATAACTCCCATGTGCATGATCAGATTTTTTTCGAACTTTGTCTGTGTGATCATTGACCATATCTGTAAACAATGACAATGTGGACAGCTGACATCACCTAAGCCCCGCCCCCTGACTACAGGAAGCCTATTGTTTTATGGTGAACTGCCCATATTTGTCCCCTCTAATTTAGTCAACATGAAACAAAGGTCATGCACTGTCTTCATGATGCTGTATTGACCATTCAGATCTGATAGCTTTCCAGAAAGGGAGGGGCTTTGATGCCATGGCGAATTCTGGCGTAACGCCGTAATCTTAATATTCAATTTAATGGTGAGCTCAGAGGGGATGCTGAGTCAGGGTGAGGTGCGGACTAGGAGGCCATTCGCGGTTTCTGGTGTCGGGGTGGTTGACGTTTCTGTTCTGTCAGACGTGCACTGGTGCCCCGGGCTGCCGTCCAGACCGGAGCGGCGCGGAGCTGCGAGGGCCGAACGACGCTGCTTGCAGCTTTAATTTGTGATTATTTCACTGTAGAATTCTTACATATTTCACCTTTAAAATAATTAATGAGCTGCAGTCTTTTACTATGAAATGTTAACATAGTTTGAGCAGATGTGTTAGTAGATTTGCCCAAGAGGGCTACACTGATGAGAGAAAAACACAAAAACGAGACTGGAGTACACCAAAAAGCATGCTGATAAGCAGGCGCGCAGATAGGGTGGGGGACAGGGGGGGATCTGGCCCCCCAGATTCTGATCGACGCCGATCCGTCCCCCCCGCACTAAGGCCAGAAAGAAAACAAAATCAGAGGCTAAGCGCTTGAAGCTCCTTTTTCCAATTACATTGAATGCAGCATGACGTAAACAATCACCGACTCCAGAGGCGCCAAAGCGGTTGCTGCTAGGACGCAGGATGAGCAGCGATTACTGCGTATTTTAAAAAGATCAACAGTGTAAGTAGGCGGGACCGATCTGTCTGTTTATGCGTGTTGGTTCTAGTTTCAGTACGTTGTTGTCGGTGTTGGGACTTACTCGTTATAAAAGCCTCATTGCTGACTTTAACAAGTCTCATCTACAAACATGATCCCTCATGAAGTTACTACCTTACACCAGAAGATAGTGGAGATGTGGAACCTTCAGGATGAGCAAAGTTTGGGAGTTTCTAGAGTTTGAAAATCGC